TTTCCTTACCCTGGCAACATTTGTGGATGGAGACATCCCTTTTCTTTTTTATTTTTTTAAATTTTTTTTTGAGACATCCCTTTTCCAAATGGTTGGAAGTGCAGACTTTTTTCCCGGATTGATTTCTGATGGTTGAAGTGAACATTTTCCTGGGTATTTGACTGGATTTGCAGTTCACTTCTCTGCAGCCAAGTGAGGAACTGATTTTGAGATGGATGGCCGTTTGTCTTTCAGCCTTAGGAGAGGAAAAGCACAACTTGGCAGGCTCCTCAGAAGCTGCAGTTCAGAAATGCTGTTCTGTTTTCACTGGAATTGTGTGCTGTGGCAGGTAATAAAGAGGAAAGAAATCACAGTGACAGGGACTAAACAAATAATGGGCTGCACAGTGCTGGGGAAAGGGAGAGAAATTACAGGTTAGGGAACACCTCTGCTCATGCATGTCACCTGCATTTAGGAAAGTATAATATTTATGTGATACACAAAATCACCCCAGCATTTCTTACTGGCTCTTCTACCTGAAGAAAGTCACAGAAGCCCATGTGACAGCAAAAGTGAATTGCTGTTCAAGATAAAGCCTGTTGAAAGAGCATTTCGGGGGGATAGCACCTTGGTTCACGCCCTTTTCCATCATTGATGCAAATGTTCCGCCGTGGCTGTGGGGGAAGGCAGGAAGGACACTGACAGCCCTCCTTTCTGAGGTGGCATTTTGAAAAGACTCCCACCATCAGAACATTGCTTTGTCTGTGCTTGTAAGTATTATTTGTCATACTGGAGATCCTAGGGCCCCTTCAAGAGGAAACATATAGTGTGGGGCGCATGGAGGGAAAAGAAGGATCACACCAGGATGATGATATGGATGGCACCAGCATTGGTCATCCAGCTGTTTGTGACAGGTACCTTCTACGTGGTGAGATTTGGGCACCCACAAGGTGGGTTGCTTGTACGGCTAATTGAGGCTGCTCTTCCCAGATGAGCCTTTGTATGACTGTGGGTCGTTGTAGGAAGGATGTCTCCAAGGTTTCCTTCATGGGACGTAGCAGTTTCAGGCAAATCTGAGTGACAGTATTTGTGACTCCCTCATCCTGGACCTAAGAAGCCCCCTATCTAGACACTTGCTCAAATTCTTCCCAGTGACACATGCCTGGCAGGTTGAGAAACCAAGGCTAGTTTCTCACATTGCCCTTAATGATCTTGTTTGACACTTGAGAAAATTATCTAGTTTGCTGCTCTAGGGCATAGAGCCCTTTTAAAAATCTCTTTTTATTTCTCAAGGTCAAAGTATTCAGGAGCTCAGTAAATCTCTGTAACTCCTGAAAAGGTGCCCATCATAAATGACTGGCCCTATGACAATTACTGCTACCTTATTTGTATCTTTCTGTTCCCTACTATTGAAGGAAAAGACACTTGTTATAGTGATCAGTAACACTTGTTAAATGCTCCTATGTGCTGGACATTGTTCTGAGCATCTTATTTGCATAGTTCTTTGTTAAATCTTTTTAGCACTTCCATGAGATAGAGACTATTAAGATGTCATTTTTAGATAAGGGAATTGGTGTTCATAGAGACTCAATAATTTGCCCAAGGTCACTCAGCTTGGAGCTGAGATTTGAGCTTGGGACCTGCCAGTAGAGAGTGTGCTTTAAAAATCCAGAACCCAAGGGCTTCAGTGGCACAATCAGTTGGCTTGCAGTACTACTATATAAAAATCCAGAACCCTGAACCACCACTCCACATTCACTGAACTACATGCATAGGCTGAGGTTTTAGTCTCTTCTTTTATCCATCCCACCAGGAATGTGGCATCATCCATTTTATAGTTTGCAAAAGCAGAAGCCAGTTTGAGATCACCATGAGAAAAGTAGCTGAACTGTGGTTTTTAAACTCAGATCTGCCCAGCCCAGAGCCTGTTGATAGCAGCTTTGCGTGGATGCTGCTCCTGTTGCCTCTTCTTGCCTGTTAACAACCCCTGCCTCAATGCTTTATTCCTTTCTAGCTCATGGACCTGCTGCCCAGAACAGTTTTATACCCATTAGGACTTTTGGAAGCTTGAACCAGCAGGGAATGGTCGCATTTCCTGCTCTGTGTTACTAAATGCCCTCAACAGGTGGTGGGAAAATGGAAGCAAGGCTTGCTGGGGCTGAAGCATTGCTAGGCACATGGAGAGTGCTTAGTCTGTGATAGCCTGTTTTTGCTGTTAGTTTTAGAAGTCTAGATAGAGAGGTTGGATAGGAATAACCTCTCTGGGCATTCATTTTCACAGTTCAAATTCATACACCTTGATTAAGCACTCAGTGTGGAGGAATGCTGGGGATACCAGGGTGCATGCATGGTATGCTGTAACTTTAAGGTGTAATGAATATGGGCATAGAGGAGCCAGAGATGACTAATCATTGCATACCTTATAATGTGCTTTAAGGCTCGGGCAATCCGGAAGGTTTCTCAGAGGAGGTGCATTTTCAGCTGGGCCTGGTTAGATTAATTGGGTTTTGTCAGATAGGAAATGGGAACTGAACAAGAGGAAAGATGGGTCTGGTCAAGAAACTGATGGAGTAACATCTGTTGGGGAGAGGCTGTGTGGGTAGGGGAAAAATGGTGCAGTTAAGTATTAGTCTGGAGGCCCCTGGACAGATTGTTCTCTCTGCATGGAGCGAGAAACGCAAATGTCACAGCACAGAATCATGCATTTGGTGATGAGTGGTTCCTGCAGAGAGAGGTATGGCAGAACCTAGGGACCACGGGTCGTCTAAGTGTCCTGTGCAGACCAGAGCAGCCCTCACTGAGCACCCTGGTGGTAGAGGTGTCTGCATGGTGACGTCTATGTGTGGCACTCTTTGTTAAGAGTTTGCAAACAGTTTATTAGCACAAACCAGACAAGCACATGATAGATATACCTTCATGGAGCAGAGACAGGCGGCTGACAGGAATGTGGGGCAGATAGAGTAATTTCCTTGGTTAGGGTGAGATTTCACTTCTCTCAGCTTCCAACTGTGACTGTGAACATCCTCTGCCTTTGTTCCTGGGTGCAGTTCAGGCCAGCCAAGAATGTCAAGGCAGACACATGCCCTGGTGGAACATTCAGAGTTCAAACTTGCCTTGGAAAGGAGCAGTTCCCTGAATCTGGGTCCACAAAACTTCACTGCCATCTGTCCTGGGTTGCTGGTGATAAGAGCCAAAGAAGTTTTATCCTACCTATCTTATTATTTTTGTTTTGTTTTGTTTGAGACAGGGTCTTTCTGTGTAGTTCAGGCTGCCCCTGAACTATCTATCCCAGGCTGGCCTCAGACTTGCCACAATCCTCCTGCCTCAGCCTCCCAAGTGCTGGGATTACAGGTGTGTGCCACCATGCCTGGCATTCTTGCGTTCAGTAATAAATTTTCTTTTTTTTTTTTCATGACCATGACATGAGAATAAATTACTTGCTTTTTTTCTCTGCAGATTTGTCAGTTAAAATTACTACTCCTAATAGCATTATGATGAGTTCTTCTAAATTGTTAAAGTTTCCTGATGCAGTCTGTAAGAGGCACTTCTTGACATAGTACTATGCCATCTAATCTCTCCTCTGATCCTCATAGCATCCTAGGAAGGTGTGAGATGGTGGGTGCTGTTTCCCTTCTGCTTGAGAGAAGAGATCAGAGAGGCTGAGAGCTCTGACCCTAATTACCTGATTGAGTTTAGAATGAAAAGTCTTACAGACTCTGTTTCATCTTAAGTATATATGAATGTGCACTATTGTTCTCCATTAAGAATCTTCCTTTGAGAGTACTCCTTCCTTACATAAGTTAGGAGGCTGACTTCTTCCTTGGGAAGGCAGTTGAACCCAGTAAGTGCTCAATAGATGTTGAATGAATGAATGAATGAATGACTGCACGACCTCTGGGCTATCATAACTTTGTTAGTCTTGCAGGCTTTGTTAATCTTCCCTTTCTTCTCAGCTCTACTTCCTATACCTCTTTTTAATCTTTATTAATCTCCCATACCTCTTTGTGATCTTCTCTAGAAATGGGTTTGTTTTTGTTGTGTTATAAAGAATTTCAAAATTGAGCAATTTTTTTATGGCTCTGGTCTTATGGCATGGTACTGTGAACTGAGTCCCTCAATTGTCTGTTCTGGCCTCATCGTTTGGGCCTGTATGCTTCAGTGGCCTTCACAGTGCTTGGTTCTGGACAGAGCTTGTTTTCTTGGACATAGCCATGTCCTCCTGCTGTATGTGTAATTTTGGCCCTGAGTCAATCTCAAGAGGGAAATACAGTTTACAGTGTCTATTAAGTGGACAGAATGATAGTTCCTCAGGAGAAATCTAGAAATTTCTAGTCTTAAGTTCTGACTAAATGATGTGGTAATGACTCTAATGTGTGTATAGTGACAACAGTTAAGTTCAATATAGATAGGAAACTTGAATGTGTATTTAGTTGAAAGGTATGTTTTTCTCCCCATGAATGCTTTCTTGTGTTGAAGATGTCAGAAGAGTAAGAGTATCTTCCCTGAGTAATTATGGATTCTATATTGAAGACACCTTCCTAATACTGTCACCTGAATGCTAACTATAGAAGCAGGTGTAGGAAAACCAGATCGTTGGTTAAACTTGAATAACGATTTCTATGTCAGTATGTGTCATTTGGTGTCATTTGGTCTGTTGTTTAGGTTGATAAACAGCTATAATAGGAAATAACTGATTGCTCAAAATAGATGTTATCCAGGATCAAGGCTTTGGGAAAACACTTAGAAGCTGTAACCTGTGTATGTTCACCAAGGAAACACTTCTGCATTTATTCTCATCCCATCCTGCCCTTCTGTTTTGTGTGACTGATAAAAGTCTGTTTTGTGCGGCTGGTAAAATTGATCAGCTAAACACATTGGCTCTCTTAGACTGTACAGGAATTAAGTTTGGAAAGGGAACAGGGAATTTATTTAGACAGGCTATCTTTAATAATTTATAATCCAGGGAGGTGGCTGACAGGCAAGGTCTGCTGACTGATTTTGACTTTTCTTTCTTCTCTTAGGTGAATTGCGGCAAGCCATCGTAGCCATGATGAATAGGAAGGATGAGCTGGAAGAAGAGAACAGGTATTGGGACCTTCACTACTGAGAGATGGTCTCTTTCTTTGATGTTTTACCTCTTTACACAGAGGGGATGTAACAGATGAAGGAAATTTTGGTTCGTAGGCAGAAATGCCTGGCTGTTTCTTGGGTTTTGTCTGGATGTGCCACTGTAATATATCTATTGAGGCTTGTGTGCAAGCACAGAATGAAAACCTAGTAATAATGGCACTGCCTTAGAACAGACTTAAGAATTTCAGAGTAGTCTTTCTTTTCTAAAAAACAGCTTTTATTGAGATACAATTCACATATGCCATAGCTCCTCTATTTATAGTATATAGTCCAGTGATTTCTAGTACAATTCACAGATACATGCAACCATCACCCATTTTAGAACATTTTCATCACCTCAGTAAGAAAACCCCACACCCTCTACTTCTCACCTCTCTACCCCCAGAGCAGTCCTTTGAATGACCTTTAATTGAGGATTAATTTACTGTGTTCCTATTTACCATGTTCCAGACATTCACATACTTTCCTTAAAGTTTTTTTTTT